GTGCCTTTTACTTTGGTGTATTTACTGATGACAAGTTTGAATAAATTTTGTTTAGGCAAGTAAAATTTTATTATTATTAATTTTTTATTTTATTTTTTTTGGGTACAAATTAATATTTTATTTTATACCAGTTTGACAAGATTTAAATTTTTTGAATATACAATACTAAATAATTTTACGAATATTCCTATACTGCTTTATAGTTATACAATAATAAAAAAACTAATTTGTATGGAAGTTAAATAATTTATATTTACATTATACATTTACATATAGTCACAATTTTAAAATGTAATACACACTTTATCTAATATAAATTTTTATATACTATATATGTACATAAAATATATAAATTTTTGTTTACCTATGTACATGTGCGCAAGATCGTACTAGTTTAACTCTTAAAATTTGCTGTTTTTACTCACGTACTTATGACTATTAATTATTATTTTACTATTTCCGTATCACATCAAAATCAATAATTATTTTTTTGTAAAGATAAAAAATAATAAATGAAAATGGAGTTGAATAGCTTGGTTTAAATGGATATCCAAGAGTATACATTTTTTTTTTTTTTGTGTGAATAAAATCTGGCTATTTTAGAAAGTAATTGACTGAAAAGGATATTGCAAATTGCAAGTAACACTTTTATGGATAAAACCAAAATACGATTCAATAAGATGCATCCTCAATTAAAAATCTCTCCTTTATATTAATTCGTGTTGAGCCTGAGTAACAGATTCTCATGCTGATATGACGAAAATTTATGTTTCGCGATATTATTTTTATATTAATTTTGATATGAAGTTAGGTTTTTTATTAGATAAAAATAAGTTTTATCATATATTTATTAATTTAACACCCGTGTTGTACACGGGTATTGTAATTATTACTAAAAGATAGCCAATAAATAAATAAATAAATATGCATATTAATTATTTAAATATTCCCGGCTGTTTCGTGTTCACTTCAAAATTCCTGTTTTTTTTTCCCATAGAACAAACTTTCCTCGCCTTCACAAAAACGCCACGGCACAAGCAAAGCTCAAACAGAATCTCCGAATATTCCGGCGAATCTTCTCCTTCCGCCGCCCACTTTCCGACCAGTTCCCACATGGAAAAAGAGCCACTTCTCGCACAAAGCCCATGGAAAACCCAACCGCGGCGGCCGCCGCCGCCACACCGCCTCCCACCCGAAAACGAGAGACCCATTTTTAGCTCCGACGTTGACTCATCATCCCAGCTCCAACTTCCCATTCCCTCGCCGGAAATTCACGCTAGCGAAAGACTATATTCCGATTATCGATTTCCCAATCTCGACCCGGAAATTCAACACCACCCTCGGTTGGTCCACCCTAACCACTCCGCCGCCAAGACCAGTCTCCGCAGGTCCAAAACCGCGCCGGCCATGGTCAACATCAACGAAATAGACCAACAATTTCCACCGCCCAAGCCGCCGCAGTTCGGTAAGCCATCAATCGTGAGACAGGGGGTTTTGCTCTTGATTCTGTATTTGAGCCTCGGTGTACTTATATACTCGTTCAGTAAGGAAAATTTTAGGGGAAACGAAACCCACCCTGTTGTTGATGCTCTGTATTTCTGCATAGTCACTATGCACAATTGGGTATGGCGATATAACCCCTGATAGTACAGCTACCAAGCTTTTCTCGATTGCGTTCGTGCTAGTGGGCTTTGGTTTTATCGACATTCTGTTAACCGGTATGCTTAGCTATACACTCGATTTGCAGGAGAATTATTTGTTGAGGACTATAAAGGGTTCTTACATAATCGACGCGAAAAAGGGAAGGATGAGGATACGGATGAAAGTCGGATTAGCTTTAGGTGTTGTGGTTCTGTGTATAGGAATTGGTGTTATGTTTATGCATTATGTCGAGAGGCTAGGTTGGTTAGACTCGTTATACTTGTCGGTTATGTCCGTGACCACAGTTGGATATGGTGACAGGGTTTTTAACTCATTGGCTGGTCGAGTTTTTGCAGCCGTTTGGCTTCTTGTTTCGACTCTTGCTGTTGCTAGAGCTTTTCTTTACTTGGCCGAGGCTCGAGTTGATAAAAGGCATAGAATGATGGCTAAGTGGGTGCTCAGCCAAGATATGACGGTCGAGCAGTTTCTTGCAGCTGATACTGAGAACAATGGGTTTGTGAGGTTAGTGATTAATACTCGTTTTTCCTTGTTTTAGATTAATGTATTGCCCGATTGAGGATTTCTGGTATACTGTCTGTTTTTGTGCTGATTGAAGGTTTGTGGTAGTTTTGGAGAATCTGATTGCATTTGTGATGATGTGTCTTTCGTTTTCTTTGAGCTTATCGACCATAATATGTATCTGGGTTACTTGAAGGAAAAAATTATCAGTAATTTGAACATATTTGAAAAGTGAAGATAATGAGTTGAAGTGATTGTGGAGCAATTTTGTTTAAAAATGAGAATGAGGTGCCTTTCTTATGATTTTTACTAATGATATTGTAGTCTTGTTTTTCAAACTGTGATTATCCTCAGTTATGTGATTGTGTGTTGTGATTTGGATTGGATATGATTTTGTAGTGCAGCTTCTCTAAATAAGGATGCTCTTGACTAATGAGACAATCTCTCTTTAACGGGTCTCTGTTCAGCGTGTATCTATCGATCGGATTTTTTTTTTTTTAATTTGATTATTCAGTTCATTTCTTGGTATGTATTGTTCAGTTAGCTAGCTACCTCCGAAGAATTCATTTTGCATTTTACAGTTCACTTAGATGAATAGAAGGGCTCCAATTAAATTTTTTTGGTAACAAAATGATAAATTTATCAAGATTTCAATCCTTTTTTGATCGATCGTGCAGTAAATCGGAGTATGTAATCTACATGCTCAAGGAGATGGGCAAGGTTTCAGAGAGAGAAATCTTTCAAATTTGTAAACAGTTTGAAAGATTGGAATCTAGAAATTGCGGGAAAATCTATCTAGCCGATCTCATGGAAGGTCATCATCGATGAGTGATGATCGAGAAAGAGAAGAAGCAATCGCCTTTCGAGAGCTTGGAAAAACGACGACTTTTTTGTCAGTTCCTTAGATTTATTAAGCAATTAATCTTATTCTTTAGGTAGTGTGTTTGCAAACAAGAAAAGAAAAAAAACAAAAGGGGGGAAAAAATGGTGACAAATCCAAAAGCACAATTGTTTGCAAACACAGCCTTTCTGTTTGAGAACATATGTGAAGTGGATTCATTTGCAAATGTGTTACGGTTTTGGGCCTTTTGGCAGGCTACATTGTATGGTTGGCCCAAATGTGATTAGCTTGTATAGAAATCCAGACGAATAAAAACCCAGAAATTCTATAGTGCCACATGTGACACCATATTATGGTGCCACAACATGATGTGGCACCTTATGATTGGTGCCACAACATGATGTGTGATAGTGTGACACCAATTATAATGTGTCACATCATGTTGTGGCACCATAATATGGTGCCACATGTGGCACCATAGAATTTCTGAATAAAAACCTTTAAGCTAATATTATTTTGTTGAACTACAATTGGAAAATATTTGTTTTCGCATTGGGCCATTGGCCATATCAACTATAGACATATGTAAATCATTTACTCCCTCCATTTTGCAATATATGTCGTTTGAGTGTGTGTTTGTTTTTGCTTATTAATTGTCGTTTTTAGATAACCATGACTTAATTAATTTTATAACTATATCAAATCCTAAAAATCTATAGCTCAATTCATTATTTTTTTTTTTTGGCTACGAATTTTTATCTAATACTCTCCTATTCCATTCCAACAACACAAAAGGAGAGAGAAAATTATTAAAAAATAAGATTCAAGAGATTTAGAAAAATCTAATACAAAGATAAAATAACTAATTTCTTTGAATACGTAATTTTGTTCTTCCAAAGCTAGAACGACAAATAATATAAAACAGAGGGAGTATGAGATACCATATCGAGTCGACTGGACACAAGAAATAAACTAGCTGGACCGGGTGAACCAGTAGGTCGAACAATGATCGAAGGAGCTATAGATCGGGAGGTCCTCAGTTCGATGAGGACATCACATGTCAGAAAGAGTGGCTAGACGGCCTAGATGTCTAAAAGTCGGCGGTGCCTGGCCGCCTCTGATTTGCTTAAATCGGCTGAAAAAATATGTCAGGCGGCTAGGCGTTCATTGGCAGACCTAGGCGCTCCTAAGCGGGCTCGGCGGAAATTTTTCATTTTTTTTTTTAAATTCATTTTAATACTAATTACATTATGTTATTGTATTTTCTTTATAATATACTAATATTATTATACGGGTGTTGATTTATATAAGTTGAGATAGTTTCATTTTGTAGGGAGTGAAAAGAAATGAAAAATAAGGTATTTAATATTGATTTCTAAGTCCCGCCTAGGCGTTGGTCGAGCGCCTAGCAGGGGCCTAGAACTTATAGAACACTGAAATTAAAGATAATGCTCCCCTACCCACGCCACGGTGGACACATGTTAATATGCCCACCGTTTATGTGGCATACACACATTGGTGATGTATTTTTTTGAACATATTAACATCACCAATGTGTGCATGCCACATAAGCAGTTGACATATTAACATGTGCCCACCGTGGGTAGGGAGCATTACTGCTGAAATTATATAACAACAATGGTATACTGTAATGGGAAAAAAAATTTTTCACCCCAAGTACAAAGATACATTAAGTTTTTCACACCGCCCAATAAAAAAAGTTTTTCACCCCGGAAAGTGCGAAGGTTATGCGAATGGGTTGCATAACTGTCGCATATCAATTAGATAATTGTCACATATTTATCGCACAATGCCTTCGCACTTTGACTTTTTATCTGTTGAGTGAAGATGACAATATGGCATACGAATTAAAAAACGAGAAAAGTAAACAACACAGGATTTACGTGGTTCGGCAATTTGCCTACGTCCACGGCGGCTGAGGTATCTTTATTATTCTCAATTATCTCAAATACATCAATACACCATGTATTTATACTATAACCCTACAAGGTATTAATTTACTTAAATACCTCGTACCGTACCACGGGGGCCCCGCCCCCGCACCCCTGGCCCATACCACGGGGGCTCCGCCCCCACACCCCCCGGCCCAACTAATCGACTCAGCCCAACAAGGGCTGATGCCTGCTCGCTCCACTCCGCTCACTTCGCTCGGTCGCTCCGCTTCCCTCGCTACGTTCGCAGGCATCAGCCTGCCTCCTTCCTTTGTCAATATATGAGCCATATCAACAAATCTCCACCTTGGCGAATATATCACCTCCTTTGGAGAACACAGTAGCGAGCACCTCTGCGAGACTCACCAAGCAGGCGGGGGTACCATGCAACTCTAGCATGCAGAAACATTCAACAAATCCAAGCAATGCTTGAATTTGTCAGAAGTAACAGTCTTAGTCAACATATCAGCAGCATTCTCTTCAGTATGAACTTTCTCCAACTGAATATCACCAGAAGCAATTCATTCCCTAATCTTGTGGAACCTCACATCAATATGCTTCGTCCTAGCATGATATATCTGATTCTTAGCCAAATGAATGGCACTCTGACTGTCACAATGTACTAGAACTCCACCTTGCTGAATACCCAACTCTCTAACCAATCCAGTAAGCCACACTGCTTCTTTTGCCGCTTCAGCCAAAGCAATATACTCAGCTTCAGTTGTAGATAGAGCAACTATAGGCTGAGTATTCGACCTCCAACAAATAGGCCCTCCACCAAAAGTGAAGACATACCCAGTGGTAGATCGCCTATTATCCAAGTCCCCAGCATAATCAGAATCCACATATCCTACAACCAAAGGATCCAACAGCTGATCTCCAAACACAATACCATGTCCCGCAGTACCTTTCAAATATCTGAAAATACATTTGACTGCCTCCCAATGCTGTTTACCCGGCCTAGACATATACTTGCAAACTTGACCAACAACATGAGCTAAATCAGGACGAGTACATACCATGGCATACATCAGACATCCAACAGCACTGGCATAAGGTATCTCCACCATATCCTGAGTCTCCTTGTCCGACTTGGGGCACTGATCAACAGAAAGCTTGAAGTGGTTTGCTAATGGAGTGCTCACCGGTTTTGCTTCATTCATCCCAAACCTCTGTAGCACCTTCTCCACATAACCCTTCTGAGATAACCACAACTTCTTTGATCCTCTATCCCTGTGAATCTCCATCCCAAGAATCTTCTTCGCAGCCCCCATATCCTTCATCTCAAATTCCTGACTCAAAAGGCTTTTCAGATCAACAATATCACGCATATTCTTAGCAGCAATAAGCATGTCATCTTCTCCACTCCGCTCACTTCGCTCGGTCGATCCGCTTCCCTCGCTACGTGCGCTCCGTTACACTCGCAGACATCAGCCTGCCTCCTTTCTTTGTCAATATATGAGCCATATCAACATTATCACCCCAGAAAGTGCGAAGGGATATGCGAATGCCTTCGCACTTTTAACTTTCGCACAATGTCATCGTGCAATTGTCGCATATTCATCGCCCAATGCTTTTCGCACTTTTTGGGTGAAAAACTTAGTTTTTTTTATAGACAGTATAAAAAACTTAGCAGAACTTCAAAACGAGGTGAAAATATGCTAAAATCATAAGAGGGAACATGACAATAGAAAGAAGATGATTTTTTGTGTATTGATCGTAGGAAGAGAGTACAGAGTATATATAGAGATTACAAGAGATGGAAAACATATCAAATCAAATATCTAGATACCAAATATAGCTATAAGGAAATATTGTCCATAATTAACTGATCTTCCATCTGTTACACCCCCCCTCAAGTTGGTGCATGAAGATTCCGAATGCCCAACTTGCCGAGAAAGTTCGTGAATTCCTGTCCACCCAAGGCCTTAGTAAAGATATCTGCCAGCTGAGCCGAGGAAGAAACATAATGAGGAGCAATAAGATCTTTCAAGAGTGCATCACGAACAAAGTGACAGTCAATCTCAATGTGTTTGGTACGCTCATGAAACAC